CTGCACGGCTGCACGCAAGAGCGGCCCGAGGCAAGGTCAGGCATGTTCATCCCAAACTGTGTTTGCACTTTGGGGGTGTGACTTGGTGCCCCTAGATACCCAGATCTCCGACGGTAAGATTTGTTCAATCAGGGCGACTCTCCTCGATTTTCGGCCACGGATCTGGGGCGCAAAACTAGCCAGGGACCTCTGGGGCAGCGGATTGAAAGAAACAAAACCAGAGGATGTCAGGATAATTGGCTGGCTATTCTGGGTTGTCGGCTGGTGCCCGCCCGCGGGCGCCATGTGGGCGCCTCGTGGGCGCCCCGCGCTGGGAAGGTATGCCGAGGTTTCTCCTGGTGCCCGCCCGTGGGCGCCTCGTGGGCGCCCCGCGCTGAGGGGGGAGATGTCGAGGCGATTGCGCAACAGAGCTTACACCACATAGCTTGCACCACATGTCTTGCACCACATAGCTTGCACGACGCAGAATGCACAACGTAGATTGCCCCACATAGCTTGCACCACATAGCTTACACAGCATGGTTACTCCAAATAGCTTTCACATCCGCAGTGCAACAATTTACTGCTCGGGGCCCACGCTAGCTCACATGTTGGTATGATTTACCTTACTTTTCTCAGTTATTCCCCAAACAATGCTTGTACTGAGGGTTTCTGAAATCTTTCCTGAAAAGAACTGGGCCTGACGGCCGCTCTGGCGGCTGTGGCCGCCATCGCCGCCCCGTCGCCGCCTCATCGCCGTCCGTCGTCTGGGCCTGACGGTTGCTCTGGCGGCCATGTCGCCGCCTCGTCGCCGCCCCGTCGCCGTCTCGTCGCCGCCCGTCGTCTGGGCTCGATGGCCGGCCTGGTGGCCATGTGGCCGCCGTCGCCGCCACGTCGTCATCTCGTCGCCGACTTGTCGCCACCACTCAGATTTTCCTCTTTTTTTATTATTAATATTATTAGTCTTATTCTTATTATTGTCATTACCATTATTATTATAATATATGTGTATATAATGCCCCCCTGGCGTTATTCGCCCCTCTTTCGGGTATGTAAATAATATATGATTATGACCACATGTCCATCCTAAATGTGAATTTACACTATCCCCGGGGAACCGGTATCGGTCCCCCTGAGGTTCCCTTGTGAAAATCGATACGCGGGGACATTTTTTGTTCTCACATAACACTTGTTAGCGAATCCCTTGCAAAAAAAGTGACAAAGTGCACACGCGCTTGTCATCGCGCGCGCATGCCAGAATCCTTCAAAAACCTGCGGTGTCGCAAGGCATTCGCAATCGAGCTTCCAAAAAGCATACAAAAACAAAGGGTTGCCAAAAAGTTGACGCGCGAGCTCTTGCGAAATCTTAAGAAAACCACAGGTTTTTCAAGATTTTCACTAAATGCTACCAAGCGGGCTTCGCGCGCGCGCATGTCGAAATCAGTCGAACGCCCCTGCGCGTGTGCCGTCGCGAGAACCCTCTGCAAAAAAGGGGACGAAGTGCAGACGCGCGCGTCGTCGCGCGCGTATGCCGAAATCCTTCAAAACCCATCGGATTCGAAAGGATTTCAACATGGTACCCAAAAACTTACAAAAACACAAGATTGTCGTCGTCGTGGTCTCCTACGTCGTCGTCGTCGCCGTCCTCCCTCCTCCCGAGTCGTCGTTGTCGTCGTCGCCTACGTCGTCCTCTGTCTTTCCTCGTGTTCGTCGTCGTCGTCCTCTTTGACGTCGTGGTCGTTTCCGTCGTCGTTGTCGCTCGCCGTGGTCGTCCTTCCTCCTCCTCCCTCGTCGTCGTCGTCGTCCGTCGTCGGCGTCTCGTCGTCGTCCCTCCTATTTCGTCGCCGTCGTCGTCGTAGTCGTCGTCGTTGTCGTCGTCGTCTTCCCTCTTCCCTCGCCGTTGTCGTCGTCGGCGTCGCCGTCCATCCTCCTTCTTCATCGTTCGCGTCGTCGCCGTTCTCCCTCCTACCTCGTCGTTGTCGTCGTTGTCGTCGTTGTCGCCGTCGTCGTCCTCCCTCCTCCTTCGTCGTCGTTTTCGTTGGCGTCGTCGTCGTTTTCGTCGTCGTCGTCGTTGGTGTCGGCGTCGTCGTCGTCTTCGTCGTCGTCGACGTCGGCGTCGTCGTCGTCGCCGCCGTCGTCGTCGTCGTCGTCGGCGTCGTTGACGTCGTCGTCGTCATTGTCGGTGTCGCCGTTGTCGTCGTCGTCGGCGTCGTCATCGTCGTCGTCGTTGTCATCGTCGTCGTCGTCGTTTGCGTGGGCGTCGTCGTCGTCGTCGGTGTCGTCGTCGTCGTTGTCGGCGTCGTCGAAGTCGTTGGGGACGTCGTCGGTGTCGTCGTAGTCGTTGTCGGCGGCGTCGTCGTCGTCGTTGTCGCTGTCGTCGTCGGCGTCGCTGTCGTTGCCAACTGCCATGTCGTACCCACCGTCACGGTCTCACGAGATTTGCAAACCAAGTTGCGGGTGGGTGGGTGGGATGTTTGCGCGAGCAGTGGGGTGGACAACTCTCTGCGAACAGAAATTAGTTGCACCACATAGACTATCGCACCACATAAATTGCACACATTGGTTCTCCTGTCTAAAAAAAACCGACTCGACCCCCCCCGCGGGATTATCGACCCCCCTTTTCTCATTGCAATTTACATACGATTCCGCCCCATCGCCATTCATAACCTATTCCATCCCAGCCCAACCGGTATCGGCCCCCCCTTCATCCTCTGCAACAAATACTATGCGCGCGCACTCGTTGATCAAACAAATTAATATATACATATATATATATATATGTGTGCGTGTACGAAATGCACACGCGCGCGTCGTCGCGCGCATGCCGAAATCCTTCAAAAACCTTCGGTGTCGTAAAGACTTCCTAATCGAGCGTCACAAACAACATACAAAAAAAAACACATGGTTTCGGAACACGGGCTGCCAAAAACAATGTGCACCCTCTTGCAAAAACTGTTGTTGAGCATGTTCCAAAAAATGCTACCAAACGGATTTCGCGCGCGCATGTCGAAATCGTTCGAACGCCCTTGCGCGCGTGCCGTCGCGAGAACGCTTTGCAGAAAATGAAATGAAGTGCACGCGCGCGCGTCGTCGCGCGAGTATACTTCCACGAAGGCCTTAAAAGGCAAAATCCACGGATTGCCCTTCAGTTTTGGACAGATTTGGGCGTTTCCCCCTTTTCGGCTTCCCGACGCCTCAAGACGGCCCAAGAGGTCCCCAAGATCGTCCCAAGAGGGTCCAAGAGGACCCCAACAGAGCCGCAAGATGACCCAAGAAGGCTCCATGACCGCCCAAGACGACTCCACGACGGCCCAAAAAGGCCCCAAGAACGCTCCGGGGGAGGCCCCAGAGGAACACGAAACAAGATTTCGAGCCTTCGGCCATAAGCAGCCCCCTGGAGGTCCCCAGAGGCTCCTACGAGGCCCCAAGAAAGAGGCCCCCAACAGGCGGGCAGGAGGCCGCCATGAGGCCCCCAAGAACCCCAGAAAGGCTGCTCCAAGTTAAGACGTCCCCGAGAACACCGGAGAATTTCCAAAGTTTCCTGTGCGCTGCCTCCCGGTGCGCGAACATGGGCCGGCCGAGTGAGCGAAGCGATAAGTAAAATCATGCGGGCCACTCTCGCGCGTCGGCCGCGCGCGCATGTCGAACTCTTTCCAAAACCGTCATCACCGACGCGAGGACGCCGTCATCGTCGACGGTGTGATCAGCATCGGCGCCCGCTGGCCGCGCCGTCGTCGTTGTCAACATCGTCGCCGACATCGCTACTATCATCGTGTCTACCGTTGTCGACGTTGCCATGATACCGCGCCCGTCCAAATCGCCGACTCGCAATGAAGTGCCAGCTGCTGGGATGTGCCCAACGGTCAGCGCTCAGCGCCACCGCGGCCGCGTCGGCCGCGCCAAACTAGCTGGCCGCTGCGCGCGCGCTTGGGTTGGGGCGGCCGCAGAGATGGACCAGCGAACGCCAAGCACTCATCGCAATCGCCACCACATGGATGTTGCAAGCCATTGCGGGTGGGTGGGTGGGATGTTTGCAAAAGCATGGGATGTGTCAACTCGTTTGGTCAAATGAAGTCTCCTTCCAAAAAAAAATAAATTCGACCCCCCCCCCCCCGGAGTTAACGATGCACCTTTTCGTACTGCAACTTACGTCTGATTCTGCCCCATCGTCCATCCCATATATGAATTTACACTATCCCAGCCAGGCCGGTATCACTCCCCCCCGCCATGTTCTGCAAAAAATACTGTGCGCGCACTTTCGTTTATCAAAAATCATAAGTTGTCAAGAATCCCTTGCAAAAAAAGGGACGGAGTACACACGCGCGCGTCGTCGCGAGCACCTGCCGAAATCCTTCAAGAATCTTCGGTTTCGGGCGGATTTTAAAATCGAGTTTCAAAAACACACACACACACACACACGAAAAAAACACATGGTTTCGCAACACAATCAGTTTCTTTTTACTGTTTAGAATATTTGTTATACCTTATGAATATTCCGAACTCTTTCGAACGCCCTTGTGGACGTGCCGTCGCGAGAATCCTCTGCAAAAAAAACAAGGCGAAGCGCAGACGCGCGCGTCGTCGCGCGCGAATGCCGAATTCCTTTTAAAAACTGTCGGTTTCGGAAGGATTTCAGAATCGTGTGTCAAAAGAAAACCAGCAAGAACACAAGGTTTCGCAACACGGATTTTCAACAAAAGCGTGCGCGCGCTGTTGCGTCGTCGTCGTCGTCGCCGTCCTCCCTCCTCCCTCGTCGTCGTCGTCTTCGTCGCCGTCGTCGTCCTCTGTCTTTCCTCGTCGTCGTCGTCTTGGCGTCGTCATCGTCTCCGTCGTCGTTGTCGCCGTGGTCGTCCTTCCTCCGTCGTCGTTTTCGTCGGCGTTTCGTCGTTGTCCCTCCTATTTCGTCGCCGTTGTCGTCGTCGTCGTCGTCGTTTCCCTCCTCCCTCGTCGTTGTCGTCAGCATCGTCGTCGTCCTCCCTCCCCCCTCGTTGTCGTCTTCGTTGGCGACGCCGTCGTCGTCG